TTAAAAAGCCGGTCTCTATGTTCTCAACTACCGAATTTTCCAGTAATTTCTCCGCCAAAGGAAAAATAACCGACCGTCAGTCACATGCATTGTTTTTTTTTGAAGAAGAATTAAACACATCTTCAAAAAAGTAGGCTGTTGTAAATCTAAGCTGGTTTATAATACTATCGGTCAGATCTGTACCTCGCCTTGGAAAGCTTTTATAAATGTGCTCATGAAAAAGTGTGATAATTTTGTGATAATGCTTCTTTTGGTGTAAGCAAATGTTGGCAGTTGTGCCAAAGAAATCAATAATTTACAGAGCACAGTAATAGGCTATCAGCAATTTTACCTTAATTATTTAACATATCTTCCCTAACGACCCACTGGTTGATAAATTTTTCATGATTCAAAAATTTCCAAAATTTTCCTCTCTTGAAACCAAACTGTGTAACTAATGCTCTAAAATCTATTTAATTAATGATTATTAATAGAGAAGGTACACTGAATTTTGGTTTAAATTTACGTCCTCGTGTACAATTTGACATTCTTACAAACCTCAGTTTCGCTTAACGAAAAACGAAACAGAAAAACTTTTCTTTTTTCGACGTTTGATGGTCAAATTTACAGTGGTCTCCTTTCCTTAAAATATTGGTATTTTGTTCACTGGGGACTTAATATTTGATATCAATTTTTAGAGTGAAACTCTATCTGTGTGATTGAAGTTTCGTGTATTGGTAGGAAGGCATTCACTTCAGGAGGAGAAACCCATTTATCGTTAACAGTTAAGTAGAAGAATTGTCGCCATGAGCTTAAGTCTTAGTTAAGACTATTTTTTTTCCCTTTAGACCGTTTAGCAATTATATCTGTTCGTATTTTGAGAGGACAAAAAAAAAAAATAAACTTAAGTATACATTACCTTCGGGTCGTACTTGCTTTCTTAGAGTCGAAACTCGAACCTATGAAGGTGAGAGAAGAAGATTTAGTAACAAAATTAATGAACCTTCACAGACAATTCAAACAAGAAACATGGCATGTGACATCAGGTGAAAAATTTACTTCTTACAGTAAAAAATGCTAAAAGAATGAAACATCCCACGTAGGTATAATTCATTTCTTCAGATTCTTGCGGCAAAGAGTGCCTTGTCTATAGCTCAGTTAGGAAAGACGAAATACCCGCGAACTACTCAACCTTCTTCAGCTTGAGTGCTTATCACGGAAAAGTTGCTAATTTGAAAAAATCTGCAAACTCATTAGGTTTTGATTGGTGAAGTTAAGAAAAATGATCGTTCATTATTAACAACTGATTAGCTCTTATCCGGCCAATCAGGATTTTATGTTGAACTAATTAGCGACTGTTTATTGCTTTTACCTGACATTGCAATGAACCGCATAAAAATTTCTTTTTGTTCATTAAACTTAGATTTTGTGAAAAAATTGTCATGTTCTGACGACTACTCAAAGAAAATCTATTATCTCTATCTGAGTGGGGATATCTAAACTAAGTGATCGCCAATTACTTCTCGCTGATTCATGAATAAAAAGTGTCAAACAAACACTTTTAAGACTGTGAAAAAAAAAATTGAAGAGATAAAATTTTTATTACTCCGCGGGGTGTCTGAGCCATCTCCTATTCACAATAAAAATTTTGCAAAAGTATTTTATAGAAAAGAAATAAAGCTACGTAGACAGTCTATTGTGCAATTGCCATATGCGGTTTTTGAAATGACATATTTTGCCTATAGAAATTAGCTAAAACAACTGGAAATAGGATTCTTTTAAGAGAAAATTAATGAGTGGTCCATTTTAGGGGCAACCAGTATTCAACTCTTACCAAATATTATTCAGTTAAAGATCAAGAAAAAGGCGCCGTGTTTTCACTTCCAGAATGAAAATTTGATCACTGTCTCACTGTAAACCTGTCCTATTCGCTTCCGATCAAAAGCAGGAAAAAATAATAGTAAATGTGGCACTATTTAAACAAGGTTCAATCATGAAATCACATATTATCCAGATTATTCCGTTGGAGGCTTGTATGAAGCGTGCCATCAATACCGGCCTTTCAGAAGCCAATCAAAAAATTTCTATAGGAACTGAAATAATAAGGATGAAATTAGATAGCATAACTTTGAAAGAATTGTCACAGAAACAAGGAGTTTTTGGTTGTTCAGACTTAGTTAAAGGTTTCAAGGATTTCTGCAATAGCGAAAGACGTGGTTGGCGAGAAGGGGAGGGTTCTGAGTTCATTCGTCTTGTCAATCTTTTGTCAATCTTCAGGCCGTACAGGCCTGAATTTTTTTCACGCCTTATTTTCACTACTGCCTAAGTAGTGCACATCACTGCGAAGATCACTTTCATTCACCTTTTCATCATTGTATAGTACTAGATTCGTGCGTAGTTGGTAGGAAGGTTGTTATCACCTGGTGAGTCATTCGTACTTGACAGGATCTTATCCGTTTACAGTAGAGCATTTTTACGAACTTCGTGCGGATACTGGCTTTTCTCTTTCTACTTATATTCCTCTTTCGTTCTCGACAACTAAGACTAAATTTAGTGTCTTACTAAATTTGACAACCGAACTAAGACTGATTATCAGTACTTCCATCAAGGATTGTTCCGAAGGGAAAATTATTCATTTCTTTTAAATCATTTTTTAAATAATAATAATTTTAATTTACAAAACACAATTAGCACACACACTACTTAAAATGCAGGTCTCGTTGCAATACTCTACTTACAGAACAATACTTATTTTAGTTACAATAAGGATTACTTAAGCTGGCAATACCATACTAAATACATTCTCTACAGAAAAAAAAATTCTTGCATTACAGGCTACTTTCACTTCTAATGATACAATACTCTACTAACATTACTTTCTGAACATACAGTTTCTTAAAATACTTAGAATACGCTATGCGAAATATTTACATTACTTACATTACAATATTCTAGTTACAATAAAATTCTAACATGTCCTTCAATGTGATCAAAATGATAAAGTTCTTACTGCCTGGATCGAATCGTTCAGGGAAACTACAAAATTCCTGAACTGGGGCCTCCCTGTTAAATGTAGTTTATCATCTTACCAAGGATCCCAAATTGATTCATAACTCTGATAATAAGGTCTGCTAATAATGATGTTAATGACTATATTGCAAACTGTATTATAATGGAGGTCAGTATCGTTCAATTTTGGTAAATACTGTCTAATTAGGTTAAATGTGAATTCTCTTAGTAAACATGACCATAGCATCCTAACTCTTGCATTAAATTTACGTATATTTTGATTCCTATCATGCTAAATGAACATTGGTGTTCAAGCAGGAAGTGACATCGGCAAGGGCTATCAGTTCTAAAACATCACGCCCAAACACATCCGTCGAAAAAACTCTATCCTAATTAGAAAGAACACTGTTATTTGCTTTTAAGCTCGCCTGTGTCGGTGAGTTTTTGTCCTTTTGGCTTATTTTTCTGCGTTGCGTTAAAATTGAAGCCGTGATCATTAGACGAACAAAGACGCAAGATAACACCCCGTCAATTTATTTTAGTTGAATGGTAAATGGAAAATTAAAGAACCTCCGGGCCTGTTATTTTCCTCTGACTGCGATGAATAAAGTTATCGAAATTCTTGATAAAACGTGTGTCTTCTCGACACAGTTTTGGCGGACCTGACCACTTGCTCATAGTCACACTCTTCCCATAATACTTGATGATACCTTGAAGTGCCTGTTTAATTAATAATAGCTAATTTATGCCGAAGAAAAAAACAAAAATATCTGATTCTTTCATTGTTTATTTTTAGTGTTTTATGAGAAAAAATTGGTTAGTTAGGATAACAAATAACAGCCTAATGGGGGTAAATAATAACTTGATTTTATTTTTTACCTCTATTGAAATGAAAACAGTATAAGTAGCGTTAGTTATAGAAAGACACTCACGCTTCATCATTACTGAGGACAGCGTTTATGCACCTAAAGCAGAACAACTTAACCAGATTCAAGAAGAAAGGTAGGGCGTTCTTGTTGCAAGCATACATTTGAAAACTATATACCATTATTTGAATTTGGATTCTTTTTGAAATTTTTTAAAATTGTGTTAAATTATTTGTCAAGCTTCTTTAACATCGTGTACCGTTGCAAAGCAGTCGAGAGTAAATATGGAAAACAGAAAGAGCAAACGATATCATTTTGAAAACTGTAATGTAATGGAGGAGAGAAGACGATATCATAAAAAACTTAGACATAAAAAACTTTGTTAAGACGTGTCACTGAATGAAGCTAATGGTTGGCCTTTTTTTTTCGGGTTTTCATTTTCAAGGATTTTTTGAAAGTGTTAGGGGTAATGAGGGAGATATTATATTTTGCCCTTAATCTGCTCTACTTACACTGAATGACGAGCTAGCAGACGAAAGCCACAAAAGTATCTCGATAACAACGTTTTCGTCATCAAGACGATCCATAATTCCCCATTACTGCATTGATTCGTTCCTCAGTCTTGACTTCATGAAGAAAAACCTCGAGACGCAAGTGGCCACTTTAAATCGTACTAAGATTTAAAAAGTATACGCATTAATTTTTCTACGCATGCTAGTCTAAACAAGCCTCCATTTTTCGCCAGAGAAATAGGAAACTGAAAAAAAATTATTAGATTCTTTACTTGCTTGAACAGCTGGAACGGTGTTATGAAAAATCGAAAGAAGTGGACCATTTACGAGGCGTATGCTAGTTGCCTATCATACCCCTGAGTGGTTTGACGTTCTCTCTTGATGGAAATCAAGGCTGCATGAAAACATGTTTTAAATGACCAATTTACAAAGGAAATGGTCACTTGATAGGGTGATCTGTGATTAGACAACAAACAACACACCAACATGGTCTACTTGTGAGATGTGAGACGTTGAATAACAATAATATGTTAGGAAGATCGCGAGTAAAATTTTGGTAATCGGGAGGATATAATATTGATAGGCTTTCTTATAACGAGAGAAATTTCCCTCTTTTTCTTTTAATCACAGAATTTGACAGGATGCTGAGCTTCAAGCTTTTCTGTTACATTAGTGTTCTACAGATTTCACTCATGATAGCTAACGGTTGGTATTTTCTGCTAACTTTATTTGCATTTGTGGTTTGGTTGGTTTGATAGGATTATACACACTTAAAGATACTATCTGGAAACTGTTTTATCAGTCAATGAACAAAAGTAATTTACATGTCACTCTGTCTTACTTTGCAGCTATCAGTGGACCAGATCCTGTGGCCGTCTATCCTCTAAACAGCAAGTATCTATCAAGAGAAATTAAAGATCGACTGCCCCCAGGTATCCTCAGTGATGTGTCTTTGGCACCTGGAATCGATGGAAAGGAAGGCGGCTCCTACCAATTCGCAGGAAATATTGGCAGTTACATTGAGTTTCCGAATAATGGAAGATTAGACGTAAAGCACTCCATTACGATTTTATGTTGGGTGTATCCTCAGACCACAGGTGGTCCTCTCTTCCAGTACAGCGGTACCGATGACTGGGGTGTTCACATGTGGATCGCAGAGGGAAAGTTGTTTGCTTTGTTCTCACGCAGGAACTACAAATCCACAATCTATCTGTTTTACAATGCTTTGGCTTTGGCTTTTAACCAGTGGCATTACGTGGGATGCTCGTATGACTTCATTTCCGGTGAGGCAAATTTATGGTTAAATGGAGAATCGGTGGTAAAGATGAATATTGGAAAAGAGATTGAACTTGCCACTCAAGATGAAGTTCGAATTGGTGCTGTCAACATGGATGAGCGATACTTTCAGGGAAGAATCACGGCCGCACAAGTTTATGACGTGGCCCTGAACGCTGAGCAAATAAAAGCCGTGGAAGGCGTTGGTCAAAGTGGTAATTATTCTAAGACTTTAATTTATGCCAACTGATAACGTCCGCATAAACCAGTTACCACGGTACCGCCATTTATTGGGATTCTTATGATTCTTGCACAGTGCTTTGTAGTTTACAGTCTAACGAATAGAGCGTCTTTGACCGGGTGTAATGAGGGAGGCCATTTTACTGATAGAAGTCTATGTGTTTGTAGCTGATGTTTGCGCAGACAAAAAGCCCTGTCAGAATGGGGGAGAATGCAGAAGCTCTGGTGACAGCTACACCTGTTCTTGTCTTGAAGGATTCCAGGGAAAAAATTGCGAAAATGGTGAGTAAAAGCTTAACCAAAAAACGCGTCAACAGTGAAAGTGTGAGGATAAAATACCTCCAATACTGCCATACCTTTTTAGCAAAAATTTCGACAGGTTGATTTTAGAAAATGAAAGCTTTAAATTGACAAAATAACTCTACAGCAGGCTACTACAGTTCGCCTCCGATTCAGGATCACAGGACCTTCCCTGAAAAGGCTTGACTTTTTTCATATCAGAGCAGTGAAGAATGAAATTTCGAACTCAAAAATTAATTAAACCTGTCTCTCAACGACAACCTTTGTGCTTAGAAATTTTAACTTTGATGTTTTTCATTCTGGCTAGATATCAACGAATGTATAACTTTACATCCCTGCCAAAATGGTGGACAGTGCATAAACACACAAGGCGGCTACGAATGCAAATGCAAACCTGGGTTTACAGGAAAAAATTGTGAAAAAGGTGAGAAAATTACTGGGCATTTACTGTTGTTCATAACCTTTGTGCTTGCAAAGAAAGTAACAAGTTAACCTTCTCCAGACAAACTTGGGGATTTCGACGGTAGCCTGCAGAGCAGGCGTAATTTTGGCGAGCGAGTGCTCATTATTTTCTAAACAAAAATTATGGCCACCATCTTTGATTTTAATAACAGCGGATGGCTGGGAAGAGAAAATAATTTCCACTAAGGGGGAGGTCGATGGTCAATGATGGAGAGGGGTGGGAGAGGGGTGGAGAAGGGGGAGTGAAGATTACGCCTGCCTGAAGTCATTGTTATTTTCCAAAACTCCGTTCGCCCACGAACGGAGTTCCAGATGGATGCGGTTAAGCTCCAGCTGTCAATTATAAACCAAATGTGTCATTTGGACATTTTGCTGTTGCGGAAAAATACGAAGGATGGCAAACTCTGTAGATGATGAAATTGTTAGTTTCGATTCCGCTTTGAAGGAAGTTGTTGTTTGTGCTTCAAAGTATCGTTTCATTTGGAAAAAAAAAAACCGTCAAATAAATTAACGGCATCAATACTCAAGGATTGTCGTTTGGAAAATAGAGTGCAACAAACATCAGCTAACATTTGTGACCACGGAGAAGGTTTCGTCGAAGCCATTTTGTTCCTGGGTGAAAAAAACGACCTTACCATTTCACTCATCGACTCTACATGCTTTTTTTCTTTGTAGGAAAACAGTGCTACCGGTTTTTAATTTAACTCATTTTGATTGATTACCTGCTCATTTCCGTAAATGCAGTGACGCGCAACTAATTGGGGGTGTTTTGCTTTTCAACAGCTCCTCGAGCAGGTGTCTTCTCGCCCTTCCCGCCCCCTACCCCCACCGTCCACTCTAACTCCAAATCAAACATGGCCGGTCGGATAAACGATCGCGAGCTTATAACGTTAGCTCGCCATTATAAGACGCCGGCACTGCAGGCTGTTTCAACGGCAGTTTAATGATATTTAAACCTACTAAAGTTTCGCGAAACCAACTGGGCACACCGATGATAATGGGAACGGAACTCTTAAAAGATCCTATTACTGATACCATAGCCAGGCCTTATTACGCTATATTTTTTCTAGAAGGGCATGAGGACTTACACGTTTCCGGTACTAGCCCATGCTATCTTTTCTCTTATTTTGAATCTTGCAATGACTTTCCTTTTGTAAAATATGTAGATTTACTTTCAGCGTAGATTAATGTGAGGGCAATTCAATGTGGCAGATCTATATGTTAGCACGCTAATTTGACATTCTGAGAACTTTACGTAATTACTACGCAGATACATGGTAGCTCCACCGCTCCTTATGAACCATAATCATTCCTCTTTCTTAGAGCCAGGCGTGTACAGTGGACACGATACTATTTTAAATAAACACTTCCAATGGCGCGCGCAGTCTCTTGGACGGATCAGGCTACATGAGATGCACTCCACGGGAAATAAATTGCGAAAACGATCTCGGCTCTTATATCACTTTTTGTATGTTTTTTTATGAAATGTAGATGAGGACGATTGTTTAAATGCTGTGTGTCACAATGGAGGAAAGTGTATCAACGGAATCAACAGCTACACGTGTGACTGCAAGGAAGGATTCATTGGAGAACAGTGTGGTAAGAACGCTAAAAGGTCAACGGGTGTGTTTTGGTGAGACCTTTTCTTGAACTGTTAAGGCTTTCTGGCAAAATAGAAATTCGAAAAACAGCATACGAGAGGTAAAATTTGACCCACCTCTTTACCGCTCCAGCATTCCTCTTAAGAATACATTTCGGTTCGCTTTGAGGGTACAAGGGTTTTTCCTTTTTTTGAACCTACTCTTCATGTTTTTGTTCTCTTTGTTCTACGTCATTGATTAGCTCTACTGATTTTCAGAGCGAGACTGGAAAGCTTGCTTTTGCCTACCAAACAGCTTAAAACCCGACTTTGTCATGAGATTCAAACCTAACTCTGTACATACACTTACCTATCCCCTTTCGAAAATGTACGAAGCGAGAATTTTCTTGCAAGTGTCGTCGCTCATAGTTATCTTAATTACAGAGGTAAACTTTTAAAGGAGATCTTGCATTATGGCCTTGAGAAATATTTTTTTTACTTACATAATTGTATCGATGAAGTTGATTATATGTGTTATAGAATGGGAAAAGCAAGGATGCTTTAAAGAAGTCAAAAATAAAAACAAGAAGGCTATGGGTAAAGTTCTTGGAAAATTCACAAAGTACAAGAAGAATATCAAAGGTGCTGTGGAGGCTTGTATGAAAGCAGCTAAGGGGAAAAAACTGGAGATCTTTGGGGTTCGTAGCAAATTCATCTGTGCGACAACCAAAGGCAATGCTGATTACAAGATGCATGGTGCATCACCCAAAGGGTGCAAAGAAGAAGGAGATTACGGAGTCGGAGTGAAATTGGCCAATTACGTCTACGTTTTGAAGAAGAATTAGAGCCATAAACTTTACAGCACGGGACCTTAAGTTCACGGTGAGTCCAAAGTTACAATTACTTAAGACAATACCGATTAAAATATGGGTTCCAGAATTCATTTCACTCTTAAGCGAGTCGAAAAGTTTGGCAAAAGCTGTTGACCTAATTCGTCCGTTAAAAAAGGAAAACGCTGCGGTTCTCAGACAGCCGATCATATAGCCACTGCGTGAAAACAGAAAAAAAAATTAAAATCATGTGAGATTGAGATGCGCTTCACTAACCCCATCAAAGGTGTCGTTTAATTGCTGTCAATAATAATTATTTTAAACATTGACGCAGTAATTTATCTTTACACTGTGCTCATAACAACTTAACGAACAAACTGCTTAGATATAAGGGATATAAGGAACAATAAGATAAGATAGGAGGTAAGAATATTTGTTACGCTTGAGGTATCTGTGCAGATTGACCGAAATTCATTTAACGGTAATCGGAGAACGGCGTCAAACAACATGTGACTGATTTCTTCGTTTTCTTGGCCGACGACTCTTGTGCGCTTCCTCCCTACAAAGGAAAGCCTGATCGCATAATCATGATGAAAAAAGAAACCTAACCACCAAAGTGGTTCTGGGGCCCTGAAAAAGAAAATTCTGATGTCAAGAAAAGTTTCAGTGACAAACACTTGCTTGTGTCACATTAGATCTACATTACAAGTTTATTTGTTCACGTTGCATTTTTTTCCCTCTCAGGCCTGGTTATCAGCAAGAAGTTGCAACGAAGATTAGAAAGAGTAGAAAGAAACTGAAATGTATCAGCTTATCCGAATCGTGGGGTTTTATCTGGGATCAATAAAGTGTGTGGAAAAACTATCAGTGTTGCATTTCTTTTAAAAGATTATTGATGATTGTTGGTCGGGAATGGTTATCAGCGGAAATTAGGAATTCTTATCAATAGACCCAAACGAAATTGTTCTGTGGTATGAAGAAATAATTGACGCGCACAAGCCGAAAAATAAGGACATAGAAATTTCGTCTTTCTATTCACATAAAGCGTTCAAAGAGGAGACTTAACATGTTAGACATGTCACTCAAAACAAAGAGATCATTCTTACCTCCTCACCTTGCCGTAATAAGCTGCACTGTTGTATCTCATTTCGATCCGTGCCAATGTTTGGTTGCTTCAAGTTAGCTCAAGTGTTAATACGCACTAAATCATTGTAGCCACTGTTTTACGCCACAGAGGATATCTTCCAAAGTCCATGTTATTAATGTTATTGGAGGGTTGTGGTCAACCGTTGGCGTAAAAACTGACAAATTTTGTCGTTAGTAACGGAAAGAAAGCAACTGTTAGCCGTAAAATAGCTAACATTTTAAGCGTTAGCCGTAATAGCCATCATCTCATTGTGCTCCTCGATGATACACATCCAAAATGTTTCCTCTTCTTTTTCACTTTTAGATTAAAATCAATTCTCGGGCAAGGCCAAGAAAATTTCAGTGCTAAACCCAATAGGTCCCATAGTTTTTTCGACTTCTTTCAGCGAAACTAACTTTTCCACTATGTGTTGTGATGATGAGGCAAACATCCCTTAAAGGCTGAAAGCCAAGGGAACCTTGAAACCGTATGCCCACCGTAACTTTACGATCATGTGCAATTGCACCCTCAAGAACAAGTCGATGATGATAGCCAACAGTTTGATTAAATGAGATACGAATTAGATTAAGGAAGAGTCTCTTGAATGTTTAGCTCTCCTGATCGTTAGCCACTCATGTCAATCTTGTCTCTCTTTATCACGTTGTCTCTCAGACCATGAAGAAACAAAAGTTTGATAACCAGGTTACAAAAGCCCAAAACCAAAGTTCTCTGCTCTCTGCTATTAGGAATTTCTGCACATTTAGGGGTCTTACCAAACCTCATTTAAGTCCTCTTGCTTTGAAATGAAAGGCTATACAAATTATAACGGGCAACATCTTCATTTAAGTTCCTGAATTATTCCATCCTTTTAAGAAAGGTTGGTTGGATAAACTGACCGTTTTTCATTGAGGACGTGTTCCTAATGATCGGAGAGTTTACAATAGCCAGTTTGTTCACTTGAAACTGCAATTCTTATTTATAGAATATTGCTTCCCGTCCAATAAGGCCTGATCTTATTTTGGTCTTTACCAATTATTAATATATAGATTTAGCCAAGCTTAAAGCGGAGCTCTTGTTAGTTTACTTTCCAGCCCTTGTACATTACCCCACTTTCAAAGAAGAGCATTTCCCATGAAAATTTAAGCATTAAAAACATAAGCTACCAGTAACAGGCTTTTCCATTGTAAGTGTTTCATAACATCATATTCTCATCACATTTTTTTGTTACATTAGAAAGCATAATATTTTACCATTACATTTTTTAATCATTACAATATAATAAAATCCCCCATTTTAACCCTTTAACCCTTTAACTCCCATGAGTGACCAAGACAGAATTTCTCCTTACAATATCGTCGAAGTCGTCGATTTAAAAGAATTAGTATTTCTAGTTGGAGTTTCGCGAATGGCTGGTTGTGTTTACCGTCTGTTACAGCGTCAAACTTCAACTTCAACACAACGTATCTGAGCAGTGTTAAGTCTCAAATGGAAACTTAAATGATTTGCAGTCGGGTTTCCAATCTCAGACCACGCAAATTTGGTAATTTCACGTTGATAATTGGGACCGCAAACCACGACGGCGACGGCAACGAGGAGACGAAAAAACAAAAGATCTTATTGGAACAACAATAGCTCAGCACGTGCATTTTAAAATTTGTATATTTCTTGGCCGTCCTATGCAAAACAACTGGGACCTTAAGCAGTCAGGACGGCAACGCCAGTGAAGACTTCAATTAAAAAATGAATTTCTGCCGTTAATTAGAATTTTAAAAAAAACTGAATGTGTTCACTGTCTCATACGGCGCCACACCTCAACTTCAGCATAACGTATAAAAGAAGCGTTGAGTCCCAAATGGAAATTAAAATATGTACCGTCGCGGTTTCGGTTTGCAGACGACGCAATTTGTGATGATTTCACGTTGTTGTTTTGCATGGGACGGCTATGAAATGTACAAAATTTTCAAACGCGCGTGCTGAGCTATTGTTTTGTTAATTAAATCTATTGTTTTTCCATGTCCTCGTTGCCGTCGCCGTCGTGGTTTGCTTAAGGTCCCTAACAACGTGAAATCGCCACAACTTGCGTCGTCTGCGAAGCGAAACCGCAACGGTAAATTATTTTCATTTCCATTTGAAACTCAACGCGTCTTTTATACGTTATGCTGAAGTTAAGGTGTGGCGCCATATGAGACGGTAAACACATGCAGCCATTTTTGAAATTCTAATTTAAGGCAGAAATTCATTTTTTAATCGAAGTCTTCCTTGGCGTTGCTGTCCTGACTGCTTAAGGTCCCTATTGGTGTGCAGAGGACGACGAAGAAATGTACAAATTTTTAAAACTCACGTGCTGAGCTATTTTTCTGCTCATTAGATCTTTTGTTTTCCCACATCATCCTAGCACAGGCTATCAACGTAAAACTGCAACGATAGAATTTTAGTTATTTAATGGATTTGCGCCACTAGGCAGGACCTTTAACATCGCAACAAATGTAAGTTTTGTATCATGTAGTTTTTTCGTTGTTCTCGTTGTAGCTTTCCTTGTGTATTTAGTCTAGTTTATATTGTAATAGTTTTCGTTCGCTGTTTTATTTGCAGTTTTAACCGTACCGTGTACCGTTCGCGTTTAAAATTGTTAGAATTAGTTAATATAAATCGCCAGTGGCAGTTACAACGAGATTAAACTCAGTCAGTCTTGAGTGTGAGATTAAACCTACCTTAGAGCCAAATTCATGATGCTGAAGTTATTGTCCTAGCGATCTTCAACAGCCGTGGTAGACTCCGTTTTTTTGTGCAGCAAGCGAGTACTTCCCCAAAGACAAAGGACAGCCCTACCGCTATTGTGAATATTTTGAGTAATTCCCCGTTAGTCCCGTTACTTGAGAAGAAAGCCTTTCATTCATCAACCTGACCGAGTGGCGCCAAAGGCGAATGACGTGTCAGCAGCTGATTGGCTATATCAGCACACGTGAAAAAATATTTTTTCACGTGTGCTGTTAGACTTTTCTCAGGGCCGGAAATCCCTGTATAACACCACAGTTTATGTTATAACAGTAATTTTCCAACTTGTGACTTTAGAGATACCAAATGCCCTTCGGAAAGGAGCCCTTCTAATATTCAAGAATGTCCTTGGCTGTGGAACAGATTACTCAGTCTCAACTTTATTTAGGAAGTAACCTTTCTTAAATTTGAAACTTATGCCGTATTATCTATTAGTTGATAAGATCTGCAGCCACTTATGTTATTCTAATTTCTAATTTTTAAGTTGTGGTACGCGAGTCTGTGATGTTTGCGATACCAGAGTTGCAGCGCGAAGCTCTGAGGCAGATAAAGCGAGACAGGTTCATTAGAAAGGAACTCTTCTACAGTTTAAGAATGTCCTTGGCTGTCGCAACGATTAATTTGTGTCACCTCTAGGAAGTAACATTTCTTGAATTTAAGAGTAGTGTTGTGACATATGTTACTTGGTAAGATCTACAGCCACTTACGCTCGTTTAAATATCCTAATTTTTATAACTGAGCTTCGACTTTATATTTTGTGAAAAAACCAAAAGTGAAATAGTTATGATTCTAACAATCCTTGAAAACAATTTGATAGAAGCATAAATAATTATGCATCTATATGGCGGAAAAAACTCGGGAACCTCGCAAAGTTATTGTGACGCAAGGATGCGTGAGCTTGCAGACTACATAAAATAGTCTAGATAAGGCGCAACGACGTCATTCTCCAGGTTTTCGCATTCCACCTAAAGGTTTTTAAATTTACATGCTGCGTTGCCGTTGCGTCGCCTCTTTACTCTCAAAATATCTTTTATGATTGTAATACTATTCTAAAGCATTGCAAGCTTTTAAATGTCCTCCGTCGATCCCTTTGCTAACTGATGTGACATTTTGCATAATTCTAAAAGAAACGCATATTTTGCAATCTGATAAACACACGCACGGAAGTAATTGAGGAAAGTCAACGGCAATCAAGAGTGCTAACAGATCGGGTCACTGAAATCTGACAGATGTCGACGAATGTTTGAATGCGAAGGTGCCGTGTGCTAATGGAGGAAGATGTGTCGACGGAATCAACAGCTACACGTACGACTGTGCGGATGGTTATGTTGGAAAATATTGTGGTGAGAAGATTGTAGCCCTATTATACATAAAAGTTAGGTACACGAGTCAAATTTAGTAAACCAAAAACTTTAAAAACAGAAAAAAATTCTGTGTCTAGCACACAAGAATGGAATCGCGAATTATTCTAGACACCAAACTTTAAAAATAAGCCATCATAGTGATTAAAAAGATTTATAGCAACTATTTCGGACAACAATGAAAACGTCGGCCAGACATTTTCAAGACAACTCGTTTCGAAGGAAAACAAAAACAGGATATTGAGAGAATTTCCCTGGGGAAAAGAGTAAACATAACGCTTGGTACATTTTAGTTGTGCTGTAAAAGTTTACCCTGACCCCGAGCCGGTTTAACGAAAGAGCCTAATTTTATCGCACCGTAAAAAGAGCAATTGTTTGCCAGGATTCATTGGTTCGGTAACTTCAACAGACCAGTGAAGAAATAGTTACCACTTCTCATCACTATAAGTCAGAATCTAATAATTGTGTCGTTGTAATAACTAACATACATTGGATACAAATTCATAAATTTACCGGGTTTTTTTCTCCTCCTAATTCTTTACCTCGTCCACCGAAATCTGAAGTAATTTTATTGTTTTTTTAGAGGGCACGGTAACGAATCTTGCAATCTGATTGGTTCTTTACCCGGTCAGTATTTTCCTATCTCTGCCCACGGGCCACGGTAACGCTTTCGTGAGTCGCCGAGTACATCCCAACTTTCGTTGTCATTTTTCATAAATATACCTCGTTTTCCGGCTGGGCAGTATTTTTAAGCAAACACGTCGGTCACTACCTCAAGCCGATAAATAACTTATGAATCCTCTCTTTTCTCTCTATCAAATCACTTTGGTTGACAGAAAAATATTGGTTTCAGAATGAATTTGTATAAACAATAGTGTCATTACGTTGGTTGACAAGCGGCCTAAAAACCGTCTGCAATTAATTTTAATCGTTCACAAAAAGTACCCAGAAAGTTGAAACGTGAGGTATTTGGTTACAGTTAAACTGAACGGTGGAACTTTCATTCATTTAATATCTGAATTTTCTCGAGCAATTTGTTCATAGTGAAAGAGCGAGCGAAGTTTTAATTTAAGTTCTACAACAAATATACGCTCCTGGTGAGTCTTTCTAATTCCGTTCAATTTGGACATTTGTACCTTAAATTGCACAACAGAAACTGAAGGAATTTTTTGAGTAAAGGCCGCATTACATTCCCTTGTGTCTCGTTGGAGTGTGCCGTTCGAATTTAGTTTTTGTGAAGGAAAGATCAGAGTTAAACACGCCATTACAGCAAACAAACGAGCAAACTCTCACAACTTCAAAATAAAAAAATTGAATTTACTCACAATTACTTTCCTCGCCGTTTACCTAATGAACAGAGGTAAATCTTCGTACATGAATGAATGGTCGATGAGAGTGAACAATACTTTCCGTTAGATCATTAACTGATTTGGAAGAAGACATTGTCGTGACAGTCCTTGCTAAACTAGTTCTGTTTGTTTTCAAATGTTCCTACGCTTTTTTTTTTCTTGCGCGCTCTCTAATTGACAGGTGTCAGATTGTGACAGATACTTGTAAAAATAATGTTTCAAAGTTTGTTTGGAAGCCTTTTAAATCACCTTTATCGTTACGGAAATGTAAATGTTTCGCTGAGGCATCTCTCTTAAATTTGCATCACCTCTATTTTAACTACCATTTACCCACTCAAATATTGTTTCAGTTTATGGAAGATCTTGCCGTATTTACGTCCATAAATCATTCGGGTTCTTTCGGAAAGAATTTCGTCAAGTTTAAAAACAATAAATATGTTATTTACCGGCTAAGGGTCGGTCCGTATGGTGAAAAACTGTGACCTCGGTCACAGTTTTTCACCATACGGACCTCCCAGCCGGCAAATAACATATATATATCGAATACTTCAAGGTTAGAAACTGGACTTCATAACGTATATCACCTTAAACACATATTACTTGGCCTCCGAGGAAATTGTGTCTCTTCTAGCTTCGCTGATAATGTTCAATTTGTTTTATTAAGAATGGGAAAAGCAGGGATGTTTTAAGGAGGTGAAAAAGAAAAGTAAAAAGGCCACGAGAACCGTATTTGCAAAATTCAGAAAGTACAAAAAGAATATCCAAGGTGCGGTCGAGGCTTGTATGAAAGCAGCTGAGGACAAAAAACTGGAGATCTTTGCGGTTCGTGGGAGATACAAGTGTGTGACAACCAAAGGCATGTTGAAGGCCTAAATGTAATAACTGTCCTAAATGTAATAAAGTCCTAAATGTAATAACATTTGGTCCTAAATGTAATAAAGTCCTAAATGTAATAACATTTGGTCCTAAATGTAATAAAGTCCTAAATGTAATAACATTTGGTCCTAAATGTAATAACATTTGGTCCTAAATGTAATAACATTTGGCCCTAAGTGTAATTAGCCTCCAATGCAATCGTATAACTTCTTCAGTGCATTGTTGTTACGGCGGACATCCACATTGAGATGTTGAAGTGACAGCTGTTGCACCAAAAACCGCTGACCAGTATACATGTCTCATTACGGGCTAGCTGATACCGATCAGCGTCTTTTTACTTGCTAGACATAAGTCGAGAAGCATTGGCCGCAAACCGTTATACTGATAAAAAAATGGCATCAAATGACAGCTGACTAAATAATGAGTACGCTGACCAAAACCTCTTCATATGTCACTGGCTCAGACTCTTAGGTACAATAAATTTTGGAAAAATTGGATAACATTATACATGTGTGATCGGTGATGGACTTAACAAGTCATAAACCAAATTACAAACTTGGACAAGGGAGTCCGCTGACTTGTAGGTCGGACAATTTGCAGGCTGGGCTACAAATTTTTTGTCTTTCCATGCCTGCATAGACCTTGTTAGCATGCACATTTTGTTTACCAATTCGGATCTCGTGACAGCACTCTAGAGGGTTGTTACTTTAAAATTCTCGAATATCTCCCTGAGTATATGAATATGGACAAAATAATTGTTCTCCTCGAGAGAACAAAAGTGGGACAATTATGTTCTCCTGATCTTGAAATGCCTGCAACAAATCCGACAAACGAATAAGGTATTGCATGTGTCTCCATCGAATCATATACTCAGTGACTTACATTAAACAGGTGTAAATGCAAAGAAGTTACCGACCAGTACATCATCACAAATCACCGGCTCAGATTGCCAATCACAAAACAGACACTTAACAAAAATCTGGTGCATGTCATGAACGAGCTCGCTGATGCAAAATTTTTGAGCTCCAAAATTAAAAGGAACGGAAAAAGGTTCCTATGGAAGAGGTAGTACTGTAATTCGAAATAAGCAACAGGTCTTTTTAGCGCATACTTGTTGCTCGATTACGTTTTATATAAGGCCGGAAACAGTCACACGAGTGATTTATAATGAACATTAAAAATGGTTGTTTATGTTGAAGGCTGTAAATGATGTCCCGGTCCCCAAAAACTCACGCAAAAATTTGTTCCCTCGCTTTCTCCGAGATGTGAGTACAACTAATCGTGTGAGCCGTTTTTTAACGGTATACTAATTGATTCAAAGAATTAAAAAAACGGACTTTTCTTCTACTAAATTAGCACTATGAGAACAACATGCACGTAAAGCGCTTAACTTTCCAGTTTCAAAATAACTGGCAGTAACACAAAGATTTGCCCAGCAACGTTGAATTGATTGGTTGAACTGAGTGTGGAAAAATTCTTGAGTGCGGATCCGACTGATAAACATTTCACGAGCCTGTGAAATATTCCGGCAGTTTTCTTTGAGATTGTTAGATTTTTCCTAATTTTGGTTTCCCTGTTCTACGTAGAAGTTAGTGTCACGAGACCTGTTTTCCATATTTGGTATTGTACACGAGGTTTTCTGTTTAGATTAAAAATAGTTCTTCCGCCATCTTGATCTAGTTACTGTGTTCCTGGCCTTTTATTCGGAATACACAACAATTGGCGACGAGGATGGGATTCCTTTGATCAAGCACAAGCGGTTAACAGGAGTGGGTCGTACAAATCACGTTCAAAAAGGGACAGAGACGACGAAAATAAAATTATGCCGGACGAAGCACCGAGCGCTAACACGAGTCAAGCCATCGGCAAAGTGACAAAGTTTGTGGTGGGAGCGGATTGGGAGTCCTACACCGAACAACTGGATTTTTACTTTCTTGCAAATGGAATCAAGGAACCTAAAACAATGAAGGCCGTACTTTTGACGAACCTTCCGGTGGAAACTTACCAATTGGCGAAGGATTTAGTGGCCCCCACACAACTGAAAGATGACGCCATTACCTATGAGATCATCGTGGAGCGAATGCGGGAACAACTGAAACCTGAAAGATCAGCGCTGGTTGCGAGGTATGAGTTCGACAACCGAGCCAGGAATTCCGGTGAGTCAGTTAGTCATTATGTAGCCACGCTGAAGCACTTGGCCACAGAATGTAAGTTTGGAGAGGCCATGCGAACCGAGCGCCTTCGTGACCGATTAGTTTCAGGTATCCGCGACTCGAAGATGATTACGGAATTGTTGAAAGTAAAACTCGCCGACCTTTCATTTGATCTCGCGGTTCAAAAGTGTTTGGCCATTGAGCAGGCTAATAAAGATGTTCAGGTGCTTCAGGGAGAACAAGGGCCAGGCACCCCAATCAATAAACTTGACACTGTCAAAACTGGGGAAGAACAAGCCATATCCAAGCCACCACCTAGGGCCGAGGGTCCCCGAGGTAAGGACAGTAAGAAGTCTAAACCTTGTTACCGCTGTTCAGGGTCACATAACTCACAAAAGTGTCCCTTCATGAAAGAACGCTGTTTTCATTGTGGCATCATTGGACATACACAGAGAGCATGTAGGAAGAGACAGGCCACCTCACAGATGACTGAGGCTGGAATAAATGTCATGGAGGGTGATGATTCCGAAGAAAGTGATGGAGAATTTGGGAACCTGTACCATGTCTCAGACATTAAAAACACAAAGCCCATTTCACTTAAGATCTACCTTGAAGGCCGCCCAGTGACTATGGAGCTGGATACAGGTTCAATGGTGTCAGTCATGAGTGAGAGGGTGTATTTGGATTACCTCCGCCACATTCCTTTAAAGGACACCTCCTTGAAGTTGCGCACATACACAGGAGAGTCAGTGAAGCCTATGGGGTTTTGCCATGTGACTGTGCAGTATCAGGGACAGTCAAAGAAACTTCCCATATATGTAGTGAAGAATGAGGGACCCACCCTTTTTGGCAGAGAATGGCTGGAATCTATCCATCTGGACTGGCCCTTACTTCGTCTGGAAACATCCGACACCATTCCAGCCCTGGAAGATGTCCTGAGTAAGTATGGAGATGTTTTCTCTGAAGGTTTGGGCAAAATGAAGAATATCCAAGCACGGATCCAAGTTAAAGAGGATGCCCGGCCTCGATTCTGGAAAGCCCGCCCAGTAGCGCTGGCTCGTAAACCAGCAGTGGACGAAGCATTGAGAGAGCTGGAAGCTGAAGGAGTTATAAAGAAGGTAGCTACTAGTGAGTGGGCTGCTCCAATTGTGACACCTGTGAAGAAGGATGGCAGTGTAAGAGTGTGTGGTGACTTCAAAGTGACCATCAATTCACAGCTGGAGGTAGACGAGTACCCACTTCCCCGCATTGATGATATTTACGCCAGCCTAGGTGGGGGAACGTTGTTCAGCGTCATTGACCTTCGTCAGGCTTACTTACAAATGGAGGTTGAGGAGCACTCCAGGCCTTTCCTCACCATTAACACAACCCGTGGTTTGTTCCAGTACCAGCGCCTTCCTTATGGTGTAGCTTCGGCGCCAGCCATCTGGCAGCGAGCTATGGATCAGATCCTGCAAGGACTACCAGGGGTCTTCTGTTACCTGGATGATATCATTATAACCGGCCATACCATAGAGGAACACCTGGAGCGGTTAGTCGCAGTATTGAAGAGGTTGGAAGAGTATGGTTTGAAAGCCAACCGAGAAAAGTGTAAATTCCTTAGAAGTTTTGTGGAGTACCTAGGACACGTCATCTCTGCAGAAGGACTGCACCAATCCCCAAAGAAAGTAAAGGCTATCACTGAGATGCCGAAACCTCAGGATGTTACTCAACTGCGTGCTTTTCTTGGCATGGTCCAGTATTACGCCAAATTCTTGCCCGATCTGGCCACTCATCTTGCTCCACTTCATCGGCTGTTACAGAAAGATGTGACGTGGTTGTGGGGAGCTGCGGAACAAACTAGTTTTCTTGTGGTGAAAGAAATGTTGCTACAGGATAGGGTTCTGATGCGCTATGACCCTGACTCACCACTAGTTCTTGCCACAGACAGCTCCTCGTATGGTCTCGGAGCGGTCTTGTCACACCGTACTGCTGAGGGAGTAGAGCGTCCTATCGCTTATGCGTCCCGGTCCCTGTCCGAAACAGAGAAGAAGTTCTCACAAATCGAGAAAGAAGCATTATCTTTGGTTTGGGGTGTGAAGAAGTTCCAAATGTACCTGGAGGGTCGCCACTTCACCTTGGTCACCGACCATCAGCCTTTGAAGTACATAATGGACCCCGGGAAGGCTGTGCCAGTCACAGCACCAGCGAGGATTCAACGTTGGTGTCTCTTCCTAGGAGCTTTTTCATACAATATCGAGTTCCGAGGTACCAAGCAACATGCCAATTGTGATGGTTTATCTCGCCTACCCCAACCATCAGCGCCCGCTGACAAGCCCGATGAAGTTGAAATATTCCATACCACCGTTGTCGAGGCCCTCCCCGTTACAGAGCACGACTTGAGAATGCAGACCCGTAGGGATCCAGTACTTTCCCGTGTTCTGGAGCTTGTGCAGTCAGGATGGCAAGGGACCGAACTTCACCCAGAGCTCATCCACTATGCCCATCGCGGTAACGAAATCACGATTCATCATGGAGTTCTAATGTGGGGTAGTAGAGTAGTCGTCCCAGCCAAACTGAGAGAGAGAGTTTTGGAAACGCTTCACGAGGGTCACATTGGTATGGTCAAGATGAAGGGTTTGTCCCGGGGTTTTGTTTGGTGGCCAAACATTGACAAGGACATAGAAGGGGCCGTCCGAAACTGTGAGGGATGTCAAGAGTTGGCCAATAATCCAGCCCGTGCACCCCTGCATCGATGGGAGTACCCTTCCCTTCCCTGGCAAAGACTGCATATTGACTTTGCCGGACCAGTCGAGGGAAAGATGCTCATGGTAGTGATCGATGCCCACAGCAAGTGGCCGGAGATTTTCGTGATGGAGATCACCACTGCTGAAGAAACCGTTAGCACGCTGCGCTCTCTGTTTGCCCGCATGGGACTCCCTGACCAGATGGTGTCAGATAATGGTCAACAGTTCACGTCTGAAACCTTTAGGAAATTTACAACTGCGAACGGTATAAAGCATGTCACTGGTGCACCTTACCATCCATCAACCAATGGTCAGGCGGAAAGATTAGTACAGAGTTTCAAGAAAGGAGTTAAGGCTGACAAGTCCAGTAGAACCCTGCAACACAAGCTTGATAGGTTCCTGTTAGCTTATCGATCAGCGCCACACGCCACTACTGAGCTTAGCCCTGCACAGCTTCTCCTGGGTCGGAATGTTAAGACAAGGTTGGACCTGATTAAGCCGGATGTTTCAAGAAAAGTTAACAAGAAGTTGCTCCAGCCCAATGACCGCACTTAAAAGTCTTTTGACCAAGACCAGAACGTATGGGTCCGCAACTACCGCAGAGGTCCAAAATGGGTGCGTGGCACCGTCATTGAACAAACGGGTCCAGTCCTGTACAAAGTCAAGGTAAACGACCAAACCTGGAAACGTCATGTCGAGCAGCTACGGGATAGCAATCTTTGCCCACCTGACGCGGAAACGATTGATGATTGTGCTGTTCCGGAGGAGGTCGAACATGACACACCGCCTGTAGCTACGGAGACTGAGTGGAAGGATGCACCACCTTTGGCTGTGACGCCTATTGGGGAGTTTTCCCCTCCAGAACCACAAGGTCATCAACTAGATCCGAAACCTGAATTGATTACCACCCGTGCCGGTCGTTTGGTTAAACCACCTCTATGTTTGCGGCTAGAGGGAACTGTGGTGTTTTCTTTCTGTGGTCACAGTACCAACATGTTATCTAAGATACTTTGAAATTTGTTTCTTGGATTTTGTTTTATTCTTTCTTTTCATTAGTGTACTATTTAGTCTTAAAAGGGAGGAAATTGTTAGATTTTTCCTAATTTTGGTTTCCCTGTTCTACGTAGAAGTTAGTGTCACGAGACCTGTTTTCCATATTTGGTATTGTACACGAGGTTTTCTGTTTAGATTAAAAATAGTTCTTCCGCCATCTTGATCTAGTTACTGTGTTCCTGGCCTTTTATTCGGAATACACAACAGAGATCTAGATCGAATGTGGAACGCTAGTGCTTGCATTGATTCAACATGAGATTTATTGTTTTAGCTGTTATGATTTTAGCATTACTAGCATCATTGTGGGATAGGTCTGTGGCCCATAAAGATCGTGAAAACTTCGAAGGGAATCGGAAACCCTCTGTTTTAGCAGACGACGTTCATGAAGCACTGCTCGACCTTGTTGAAGGCAAGGCACAACCACCGGTGAAAGAACGGACGAGAACAATGCGTGCAGCTGCTGTGCGATACTGGAGAGCCGGCGGAAAGATATCAGTGAAAGCAGACCATGGTGATAAGGCACTTTATTACGAGGGGCGGCGACTGTTAAAATCATCAGAGGTTAACAAAGTAGTGGTTGAGGAATTTGAAAGGACGAAAGGATCTGGTGCGGTGAAGTTGGCTTGCTCACTGAGGGACAACTTTTTAGGAGTAAGTCGAGCTAAAATACAAACCATTCTAAACACGGACAAAAGTCATTATCGCCGAAATGCTAAGTTTCTTAATAAGGCGAAGCTGAAACCTATCAGAGCCAGAGATGTTCATGTTAGGCACCAAATAGATTTGATGGATATGAGCAAAAGAGAATCCGTGAAGATGAATGGACATTTTTACAGATACGTTCTAACAGTGATTGATGTTTTCAGCCGTTTCCTTTGGCTTCGTCCTTTGGGAAGCAAATCAAGCCAAGTTATTGCAAGTGAATTGGAATCTATTTATATGGAACATGGATCGCCAGAAATAATACAATGCGACCAAGGAGGGGAGTTCAAGAAAGCTTTGAAATTACTTTGCGATCGCATGAATATAAAATTGATTTACAGTCGCCCGCGCCATCCCCAATCACAAGGCAAGGTGGAACGTTGCCACAGGACACTAAGATCCAACATGGAATATGACCTTCAAAAAATGGGTCAAGACGGTGTAAACTGGGCGAAACAGCTCCCTCTTTATCAAAGAATTCTAAATAACGACCCTAAGGAAGTAATAGCTTACAAAACACCATTCGAAATATACTTTGCACGAAAGTGCAACGCCTTTAGAGAGAGCAGATTACAAGACGAAATCCTTCCTAGAGCTGGGAAGGTTCGCCCAACTAACAATGACCGTAATCGGCGTTCCCGGCAAACTTTGAAATTACGAAAGCAAGCAAAAATAGCCACGAGCAGATGTGACAAGCGGATGCAGCGAGCACAACTTCGCTTAAATCCGCCCTCGGTTTACAGCATCGGAGAAAAAGTGTATATGCGTTTGAGAGGGAAACCATCGAATAAACGGCATGTGACGGAGGGTCGTATCGAGAAACGTAAGATCAAGTTGCATACCTATAAGGTTTCATACACCTCACCGCTTTCAGGAAAGGAAGAAAGGAAATGGGTCACCGTGGACGATATCACAAGCCTAACACTAGAGCGAGAAAAACAGAAACAAAAATGCGCCAAGCTGTCTAAAAAGAAAAAAATTGACCACTACAAAAAGTATTACATACCTATGAGAAGAGACGATTATGCAAAGGCTATTGAAGATCAGGGTTTTAAATTGGTTTACAATCCTCTTGGAGATGGCAATTGCCAATTTGCTGCACTATCGCATCAGGCAAAGAGACTAGGCATTTTGAGATCTCCTGAAACCATGAGGAAAGAAATAGTAGAGTATTTAAAAAGTAATCCGTACGATAGCGATGGCTTCCCACTTTTGGAGCATTTGGCAGATGATGAGTTCGCTTGCTGGGACGATTATATAACTCATATGGCGCGAGATGGGACCTATGGGGATCAGATTACGCTTTATGCAGCAGCAAACTTGTATAATATCGATATCCAAATAGTTTCCTCTCTAGGAGTTGGTGGGCAGCATGTGTTCAGTCCGTCAGCAATTGTTTCAGCAGCTACCGTGTACCTTGGACATCTTGCTGAGAACCAAGGCGAACACTATGTGAGCTTGGAACAAGTTGCGGATCACAACGACGCTAGTGAAAAAGAATACGATGAAAATGACCCAGGAGAAGGAGAAATTCCCGAGGATTATGCGAATGAAATGCACATAGAGCAGGACGTCGTTGATTTTGAAATGGGTGACTCTGACGCAAAAACTGGACTTGACAGTATCGTCGGCATTGGTGACGACACGGACATTGCTACAGATACAGCTAAGGGACTTACTCATGGAAGCCGAACAAACGAGACAGAGTGTGAATTGCAAAATGAAGTCGACAATGGTATAGCGAATGATGGTGATAAGCTGATGGAGGTTCAGTTTGTTTCAGATGTAGACATCGACTTATTTGCGGCGAGAGGAGATGACGAATGTCACATTGGAAAACTTCCCAATGAAGTTTTAGAAAAAATCTTAGAAATAGTGTTAGCGTCATCGGCCATCCTGTTTGCTGGTAATGCATGCCACACATACCAAACATTACGTAAAGTTAATACACGATTCAGGGCGTCGGTGCAACGTCTGAAACGATTTCTACCAAGGCTTCGTGTTTCTGGTGGATTGAAGTCTTGTTTAATCAGCGCTCGAAGCCTTCTAAAAAAGTATGGTCCTTTAAGCGGTCTATTGATCGAGCTGAAGAAAATCATTTCTAGTCCAAAGTGGGCTAATGCTTGGCTGGAAGTTCAAGTGGATGAACTCGATTGGTACGTAATCATTGGAATTTTTTGGAAGAGAAATTGACGGCAATTGATGATAAACTAGCATGCTATTGTTGATGTTATCGTTCGTGTTAAAGTCCTTAGTAGTGATGCACCATTTTAGAGCAGTTTGAATGATTTCGCTGTATCACATGTTAATCCAAAAGTATTATTATCAGTAGTGTTACTGAAATTTTGAACATTAATGTTATTCAGTGTCAAATGATTTAATGAAGCGTTTGAGTTCATTTATAAGAATGACTATCTTGATTTATTCAATTTTGAACCTAGGATGTTGCATTTCTAGCCCTCTATGGCTTCACTCCGCCTCGGTAACAGTTCATGTACCATATGACTATAAGTGGAAACTGTTGAGCTATCTTTTTTCATTTATTTATTTATCTATTCATTTTCTCCCCTCACGACGGGGAGAAGAGATGAAGACAAAAAAATGAAATAAAAACTTGAGATTGACTGCGGTATATATTTTTTCCCGATATTTCGGTTCGGGAACTGATGAACCTGTCTTAAGGGGCTAAAGGAAAAAAAAAGAATGGTTCATTAGACCATCAACTGACCATCATGTGTTGAATGCTGTAGCTCAAGAGTTCAATTTGACGCTCGCGTGGAAAAAAAGCCACATGTCGAGACCTGTGATCGTGAAATGGGATAAGATATAGTAGATATCTAGCTCTGTAAGTCACTTTATCATATAGCTAGCAGCGCCCGCGGGCAAGATGAAGTGAATCCTGTGTTCTGATTGGATACCTGAGCGGGCAAGATGATTCCCTCGCCCGTTCGAGATTCCCCGAATTGATACCGCGCAAGAAAACTCACAAAGTTCGTAAATTTTGGACAATGTCGACATATACTTAGAAAAAATTAAACGACCCTCTTGGGTTTATTGTACTACAAAAACAGTTAGCTTTCACTCTCGGCTCTCGAAATAAACAAGTCATTCTTGATTCTTATCAAAGCGAAATCTTTTGCTATACAATGAATCCCTTAACGTTTAAGCCAAGAGAATATAAACTCTCTTGCATTGACCAAGCTTGTTCGGTCAAGATGACTGGATATTAGCCTCGTTCTTTTTCTCCTTTTTTTTGGACCAAGACTTCGTCTCAGTCCCTAAAAACGCAAAAACAAATAAAAAACTCGGCCAATATCCAGCCATTTGACCTCACGCTTGGTCAATAACGCATAGGAATATATTTCATGCAGACTCATATAAATCTTGCAAGGGAAGACAGTACAAAAAATGCACTTCCGAGCCCGGAATTTGTCAGACGTATAGGTCAGTGGACTACCTTTTTCTTGTAACGCGGTTCATAAGGTGTTAACTTCAGCACTGATCACACAAGTTATCGTCAAAATCTGTTTCACTTAAGAGTTTGAGCCAATGATATAAAGAGAGCTCTTGGTCAGCGTTCTCATTGTTTTTGCGTCTGTCAATTTGATGCCAAAAGCACATCAGTATAAGGTTTTGTAGACAATGCTTCTCAACCTACGTCTTTAGCATATAAAAAGATGCTGATTAACATCAGCGAGCCCGCAATATGCCATGAGGATTGGTCAGAGGATTCTTTGGTGCAACAGCTGTCACTTTAACATCTCAATGTGGATGACTGCTATAACAACAGTGCGCTAGCGCAGTTAAACGATTGCATTGGAGGCTTATTACATTTAGGACCAAACGTTATTACATTTAGGACTTTATTACATTTAGGACCAAATGTTATTACATTTAGGACTTTATTACATTTAGGACAGTTATTACATTTAGGACTTCAACAAGGCAATGCTGATTACAAGGTGCATGGTACATCATCCAAAGGGTGCAAAGAAGAAGGAGATTAGGCCGTTGGAGTAAAGAGCGCAAACTATGTCTATATTTTGACCAAATAGCTGCAACATGGAACTCGATAAAACCTGGTGAGTTTGATGCTGCCACCTATGAAAGGTTGTTTATTAAGTCAGTTTAAATAAAATTAAAAACTCTTTGCGAGGAAGTGAGTAAGGTGCGCAGAAAACATCCCAAGGTAACTCAAAATGGTTTCCCATCTCTAAACGTCAACATAAGCGGATCGATACTTCTACGCCTACTCCCGTGTTCCCTTGTTACTGGTATCAAAAATACAAGTTGCAACTAGGAAATTCAATGTTATACCTCTCGAAAGTGTTTTTTAAAAAGCTGAACACGAGCTAAATATCAGAAACCTGGAAAACTTATTTCCCTTTCTATGGAATTAAGCGACTAGGGATATTTCTGCTCGCCATGGATGAGTTGCTATTCCGTCGCATTTTATACCAACAATTTCTACTAGGTTTCCTTAAAGTTTGTTGGTCGGCTTCATTTATACTCCTCGATGGTGAGATAAGTGTCTTTAAAATAGCTAGTTCTATTCCTTGCGTTGACCTTCGGTTGTTTGTTTTCATTTTCCTACAGGTTTATCTGTTGGCAAGATGTCGTTTGATCAGTAAGTCGGTGTACCTAGAAACCTGCCCCAACAGTCATAAATCATCAAATCCACAGTTTAAATGAATTGGATGAAAAATTTCAAAACGGGGAAACTTTTAAAGCTGAGTGTACAGGTGAGCATCCTTTTCAAAAAGATTGGAATTAAACAATAAAATGTCATTTAACCCGTGGAGAAAAACCACCTTGGGCTCCAATTTTAAGCTCAGTTGACTGAATCTCTTCAATCTAATATAGGTCCCTTTTAAGGATTCAACGAGATTTCAGAGCTGCTTTTTGACTGTTTACAATTAGAAAATATTTGAGACCGTATTACGTCTGATAGTTAGCTCCAAGGAGGCCTTCTAGTTTGCCTCTGTAATTACGTTGTAAGCCACTTCTCGTAACATACTGTGCCAGTGAAAACTTGAAAAAGCTAGGTACCTCAAGCCTCCCAAGTTAAGAAAGCACAGAAAACTGAAAGTTATCATTCTTTTGAGGAAAACCTAGCAAATTATTTTCCTAAATAATCAGAATTCTGAAGAGCAAGAGTATTCTCATCTCTCTAGTCGGAAGGTTGGAGGTCTAGGGATACTTTGGGAAGCTAAGAAATTTCATGCTTATTAAACGTGTTTTGACAGTTTTATGTCAGTTTGAAATGGAGAAACAGGAATCAGAATTTATAGGTTATTCGAATTAAACGGGATGTCATTTGTTATGAATGCTTATCTTGAGAGATTGGAAATCTAGAAAAAGCTTAGAAAACTACAGTCTCAACTAAGTAGAGTAGAA